CAAAACAATGTCCACATGTGGGATGTGAGTCATAGAGTTGTACCTGCCATCTCTGCATGCAATAGCTTATGAAATGTAACACTGTCCAGTGTGCTCACATACTGTGGTCAGATAAGAGTTAGGGGATAAGGCCAAAAAATAAGTTATCAAGTTCTGCTATGGTTTTAGATGTTAATGTGAAAGACAGTTAAGCAAGAATGATAAAAGACTTGCAAGGCTGTCATTTGTATGCATATTGAAAAAATCATCCAGTTTAATTATCCGTTTCTGGACAGACAGAGCAGACAAGTTGGCAAACTAATTCATCTGCTCCTGCTGTTTGTGCTTCTTGACATCAGCGTGATATCTGCAGACAGATGTTAGCTAGCGTTAGCTACCCAGCAGGACTGAACAAGGTAGAACCTCTCATTACCAGAGATGATACCTTGTCAACAAATTAAAACCTAGAGCTTAAATTAGTGTGTATAGTCTTTTTTTCTGTCTAAAGTCTATCTCCTTTGTAGATTGGACAGTTAGATTCAATACAAGATAGCCAGAGCCAGGTATCCACCACGAGTTACAACAGTCCCAGAGACTGCAGGGGGTGTGCATTGATCTCTAGTCTAAGTAGTCACCATGGATTTATTCGTTTATTGGACAGTTGCGACCCAAAAAATCTAGTGAAGCCAGCTATCATCATGTAGATTTTTTTTTACTTGTTCACTATCTTCTCCCTGTGAAATTACCCAAAATAAGATGCAGATGTTATGTTTACTTTACAGTTAAAGAGATGTTGTCTTAAAACACACAGAAACTAAAACTAGGAGGGCACTGGGAGAGCACAGACCTCCACCAAGGCCAATAGTCCAGTCTTCAGTTAATTTCGCCATAGACACTGGTGTTACAATTGACCAAACCACCAAGTTTCATGAAAATTGGGCCAGTAGTTTGTCTGTAATCCTGCTGACAAACAAACAAACAGCACTAAAAACATAAACTCTCTGGCGGAGGTAATAATGCAGGGAAATCATCTATATCCTTTTGTTTTAGTCTTCCCGAAATGACAGTTTGGAATGACTCATGATGCTTGTCTTAAAACTAACAACAGTATAAGTTTAACAGCTTTTTCTTTTGTCTTTAATTTATTGTGTCAGTGTTTTATCCTTCTCTTTTTGGGTGGGAACATGTAGCCTGTGGGCCTTGTTGAGTGGGTGAGTGGAGTGGGATGGTGTCAGAGAGGGAACAGGGTAAAGGCCGTGTGGTGAGACAGAATAGAAAGTGCAGGATGGGGAGAACGACAGCCGAGGGTTAGGAGAAGGTTCAAAATCTAGTATCTATGCTGATGCTGTATTATTTATATCTAAATCTTGAAAGAATTATATGTGCAGGCATTGAAAAAAAAGGTGCTGTATCTCTGGAATGCAGCATCCGCGCTGAAATACACAGTTGAAATATTGTATGAAGGTCACACTTTGTAAAGGGCACTGGAACAATTGCTCAGCTGAGCCTGCTTTATCACAATTGCCCGCTAAGCTGAGATGGCTAAAGGAATAAGTGAGATCTACAAGGACAAACGGAGGAGAAGTAGCTGTATGTTTAAACTGCTGTTGCTGAAAAACTAGTCAGCCGAAGTTAACAACCAATCAGCTTTGTAGTGCTACGATTTTTTTTTCTTCCTGCGGCTAAGTCATTCAGATAATAAGGTTTCTCTCAATAACAGAGCAGACTTAGTTGAAGTCAATTTACAATTCCAACACAAAACATTAAAGGCCAAATTCATTAATGGGGATTATCACATCACATTCTGGAGAGGTTAATGAGGAGGAGAGAGGGAGAATGACGTGAATGTTTTATTTTTGTTTGCCCACAACAACATATTGAAGTATAAAGGAAAGTTTATCTCATAATGTTACAGGAATTGGCTGGAGAGTGTCAACCCACATCCAGCTGTCCTGATCCTCACATTACAATACTGTTGGCCATTTTACCAACTAAGGGAGATATTATTACGGTAATCTTTTATGATAACATATATTTTTGAAATGTAAAATTCTATTCTGCAGATTATATATTTTTGCCACAACTTTTCACTAACCAAATCTGAGGGGTTCTTGCCAATAACTTTATTTACGTTATGTATTTATTCTAAAAGTAGATGTAAATATCAGTCAATTTGTCATTAACATAGTAATATTACATTTTGTATCAGCCTTTAAAATTCAGAATCAGCTGGGCTCTAATCTCTGTGCTATGAAATTAATTCTATATATCAGCTAAAGCACTATCAAAAACTTACTGTAGCATCCAACTTTTACAATAATCATATACAGTAAGCTTTAATGCAGTCCTTTTGTTAGGAGTTTGCAACCAAACACAAAACAAACACAAGAGGAAGAAAGATTTTTTGTCTAGTTAAGGAAAGTCATTTTCCCCTGTCACAGTCATAAAATGTTAATTAAGCCTCATATTTGCATAAAATGCTTATGCTGCACTGTAATTATCCAGCAAAATTAATGTCTTCATTATACGTTAATTACCTCCTCAACTTTAAAATGTTTCCGGGAACATTAAAGGTACATGCAAGTGGTTAAAAAAAAAAGGAAATGATCTGCATTTCTTGATGTGTTTTGACAGCAACAGAGAAATGAAAAAACCTATTGAGGCTTTATGTGTTTGACTAATCGCAGATCGACTGTAGCCCAATATCTTCAATCTGAGCGTGTCACTATATCAGGCATCCAGCTGGGATTGTTGTCAAATGTCGCCATTCATCAATATCTTGTGAAAAATACAGGCTTTTACCCCTGTGATGAATAATGAATCCAGGTTGACGTATAATTGTTGTCACAAACACATGGATGGCTGTTTGGCAGCTGCAGCATCTGCAATTTAATCTCCTCTCAGCACATGGAAATATTCTGTCACAATTTGAATCTATTGATGAGAGCAAGGTCATGTCTTTCAATTTTGTAGAAGACACAATTCAGTCATCGTTTTGGAAAGGACTGAATGGATCCAAAATGTTTGCTCAATGTAAGCCTAGTTTAGAAGTATATAATCACTATAAATACATACTGAATCAAATTACTTGCTGATAGTCAATGATAATATAGCACCTACATTATTAGATGTGCTGAGTTCTGGTCAGCAAAAGTTCAACTCAATTGAATTTTGGATGTAAGTGTGTCAGTGTTGACTCTGCAATGGACACAAACGTCACACTGGGACAAAGATATTTATTAATTAAAGGGATAGTTTGACATTTTGGGAAATATCTTGCCCAGACTTAGACGAGAAGATTGTTACCACTCTCATGTCTGCTCAGTTAATATGTAGTTACTCCAGGAAGGTGCAGATTTTATAAGGACATGGTTATATTAATAGCTTTTTGACATAAAGATTTTTATACCTTTGAACAGAGCAAGGCTAGCAATTCACTTACACAAACCATCTTTTCCAGGAATGCTAGAACTACAAATTATTAGTTAGTAATATTCCAACGAGAAACTGCCCAGTAAAACCACAGTGCGATCTGGTGGCTGTTGAGCAGCACCAGTACAGCACACACCTCCAATTAATTAGACTAAACATTTAATGTGTGACAGAAGTCCAAAATTTGCACCATTCGAGTTCAAAATAAATAGATAATATATTTTCATACAATGATTCATTAAACAATGTTGGTGCACACTAAACATTTCTTCACACTGAATTAATATCATCATAACCTTCATTAGCTCAGTGTTATATGTCAGGGATTTTATAAAATAGGTCATGTGTCTCCCTGTAGACTTCATCTCTCACTGTGGCCTTATGACAACCTCCATTTGCTTTTTTTGTTGATCTGATAATTACTAATTGCCTGAGGCCCATTAATCTCTTTTGGCTCTTTGGTTGTAGTTACCACAGATGGCCCATAATGGTGTCAGTGCATTATGGTCTGTAGCGTAGCATACTAACATATGTGAATGTGTTTACAATACGTTTACACATGGGCAATATGACCTGGTATTGCTATGTCAGCATATGTCAAAACCATGTCAACTGATGTGTCAGTGCTTGACCTCCTTGAGGTCAGAGAGACACTCATATGAAAACTGAGCGAAATATTTATCCAGTTGAATCAGCACAACTGTTGAGGAGGCAGCAGCGGCAGAATCATAGACGGAGGACGTCGCAAGGGAGGCCCTTAAAATAGCTGAGTGAGACGGAGAGGTGGAGGGTGAAGAAAGAGGGAGAAACTGAGCGGGACATTTGTAGGGAGCCCAGAGAGTCTGAGTCAGGCAAAACAAACAGAGGAAGGCAGCTATCAGAGGGTCAGTTTCATAGAGTCCAAGGAGAGTTTGAAAGGACATCACAACAATATAAAAGCAGAAAGTTTAAAAGCATAAATAAAGAAGAGAAAGAAAAAATGACTGCAAAAATAAAACTACCAGATAGATTGAGGAAGAAATAAAGAGACAGAGAACATAGATATGCATGGTTATCAAGGTATCATTGAGTGAATATCATTACAAAGCAAGATAGATGATAAGACACCCAACCTGACAAAAGAATAGCAAGTCAAAATGTGGTAGATAGAAAACAGCTGCTTTAAGCTCTGATCAGATGGGATGCTTTTATCTCTGCTCAGATGCAGAGTGCTGCTGTGAGCTCTGCTAGTAACAGAGAGAGTAATGGCTCAGAGGATGCAAAGAGCTTTACATCACTGTTGTTGCTATGCAACTATCCTATTATTATAAGCAAGCTAACCTAAAGTAATACAGGTGACTGTTTTTGAAAATTAAAATGGACAAGAAGGAAGAGAAGTTGAATAAAGTTGTGATGCATCCAGAGCATCACCCAAAAATTGTTTCAGAAGGTCAAGCACAACAGCCTTGAGGTATTGTAATTGGATTTAATACCATTTTATTTTATTTTTAAAAAGTGAAAACAGGAAATATATGTTGGTTGGACCTTGATTAAAAATATATTGTTATTATATTTTAGAATTAAATATGATTTCAGGTTTGTCTGCTCACCCATCTCAGGATGGTGCCTTCCCTCAACAGGAACGCTGACTGTCCGCCGCAGTAGCTTGTTCCTGTGAGACTCTGAGCGCCTCTCGCGCATCAGCAAAGGGTGTACCTGCACAGAGAGAAAGCACAAGGTCAGTACACAAGCACACACTGCTGAAGTACTGCATTCTGACATTCTGTGCAGAATATGAACACACAAATGCAACTGCATACTCTTTGTCCTTCTCTGTGTTGCCATTGTGTTTTATAAATAACCACAATACTGTTACAGTATTTGTAGAAAAGAGCTGTGGCTAAATTTATCTAAATGTTTTTGGAGAATGGACCGAAATTATTAAAATGGCTGATAACAAACAGATAAACAAATGGAAAAGAGATGTATAATAGGTGCCAGTAAGGTTCCCAAAAGAATGAATTAACTGCTAAATCTTTGATTAAAGCAACTGCAAACAGCAACCAAGTAGATCAAATTCATCCAAGAAATATATGTAAGGTTAATGTGGGGTCAGATGCAACCCTCAGGCGACCAGTTACATCATTTTCTTTAAAGTCTTAGCACATCATTCAACAGAAGTAAAAGCAAGAAGAGACAAAGCTAGAATTAAAAAAAATTCTAAGATATCATCCTTTACAACACTTTATTGTGTGGTGCATTATGTCTGATCTGGAGGAACTGACAACTGAAAAGAAAAAGAAAAGGGGAAAAAAAATGCATATAGAAAGAAATAAACCACATTTCACAGCTCCGGCACAGTTGGCCCCACAGTCCCTGAATTCATAAAAGTGAGACTTGAGGGAAAATAAATGGGAGAATGTGCCACACTAATCAGAAACACTGGTCCTTTTGAAACATCACAGTTAGAGTCAGAAAATACGGCGTACACTGTAAAGTACAGAACTATAAATCTTGACGGAACACCAAAGCTAGTACTTTGTTGGCACTGGGCCCCAGAACACCAAAAAATACACAAAGAAATAAAAAGTGAAATTCATGATGAGTTTCCTTTCAAAATAACACACTGTCATACAGTGATAGGTGAAAGCTGCATTAGACTGCATTAGTTTGTGTACCTTAAAAACTGACAACTGAGTGTATGTAGCGTTTTAGCCTGATTGGTTTTATGGCCAGCAATGTCTCTCATTTTTTTTTTTTTTTTTGCAAAAAAGCCCAGATAAACCCTCTGTACTCTTTCCCTGCCCAGCACCAGCAATTTAAAGACCCAGAAATGTCTCTCAGGAGTTGGTAGAGACAAAACCAGGGAGAGTTTAAGCAGATTAAGATCAGTCAGGTGGACAAAAGCCTGATTTAAAATCCATGTGAATGTTTCTCCATGTCTGCTTCATGTTTAAAAAGCCAATTATTATGTGTGTTATTATGTGTTAATACATAACCACAACAACTTTGTAAAGTGATAATATACACTGGCCACTTTGGTGAGGCATTAATTCAACTATATGTTTATTACTTAGGTTTCAGCTTGTGGTGGTGTTATACAGGACTGTATTATCTTTGATTTGATTTATTTGACATCTCAGACTATATATACCACCATATATACTTACTGACATAAAGTCACATAAAGTCAAGGAGTCTGTGGAAATGATAACATTTGTTTGTGTTCTGCTACAAGACTGCTGTGCTTTTGAGTGCGTCCTATCGAGACTAGCGTCTAACAGAAATGGAATCGGAACATAAAAGAGCTGGTGTCAACATAGAGATCCAGTGTCAGAAGGTGGGACTAACCGCAGAGCAGTGCAGCATAGTGCAGCCTTGGGGGCTTTGGGCCGAAGCCAACAACAGTGAAGGACACTGGCAGGTCACACTGAGCCATATGTCCCACAAGACAGCCGAGTGCCACTCACTCTAAAGGAGCTCTGTTAAGATGAAAAAATGCCAGAGCGGGTGTGTGTGGGTGTTGCTTGCATCTTACTACTATTTTGTATGTGCAGATGTGTGTCCATCAAAGCGAGGGCACATGAAAATTTAATGCAGACACTGCTCCACTTCAAGCAACAAATATTCTCTACTATCACGCTACAGCTGTAACACATCGGACACATCAACACACACACACACACACACACACACACACATACATGCATATCTCTAATGCAATAATCTAGTTAGACAAGCCAAGCAGAAGATGCTTCACATCACAGCATCAGGATCCTGTTTATATGAGTGTACGTATCCAACTTAATCAGGGACAAGCATCATAAATCAACTGCCTATATGATTACTTTTGCTGCTACAAAAAAAACTACATTGTTATACAGTGCTTTCTTAGTACCAACATATTGCTTGTTGAGATGAAATTACAGTACAACCTCCTTAATGAAAAATATATTAAGCAGCATCCATTCTTTATGAGTCCAGTGTGAGAATGCACAGAGTGTGTATGTTCATTTACTCAGTTTCCCTTTTCTTGGGGCAAATATGCAATGAGGTTTTTTTTTCCATTTATTAAGTTTTTTTTGTTCGATCTGTCACTGTCTGTTACTGCTATAAAACTTTGATTCAGACATTCATTGTATCCAGGAGAAGAATCTAAATAATTTTGTAGGTGATCCTTTAAATTTTCATCTACAGCCACTAACAAGTTAAAATTTTTACTGTGTGGGCCAGTACGTAAGTTCATGATAGGATACATGATAGCATAGCATTAATATGTCATGGTAAATGATGACAAGCTGGTGTTTCATGCTGTGACAATGTCCTCACCATCAATTGCCTCTGAACGCTACAGCGGGCAGCGACATGTTTAATGTTACTGTACAGATTTCAGCTTTGAAGGCTCAACGAGT